CGGAGCTACTAGAGGATGAAACTTAAGCCTTCCAAATGGACATGGACAAAAAGATTTGCAGGTCTAGCACAAATAGGGACAGAACAAACAATATTTCTTTTGATGATTTTGATAATTTCATGTCTTTGTTGATGAGTAAGGGTTTAAACACTGATATAACAATATTGTTCATGTGTTCCTCATACTCTCATTACATTTCGATTACCAAGTATGACCAACAGTCATTTAATGGAATCCTCATGTCTATTTGCTGCTATCTCTTTCAAAGATGGTAAAGAATTATTTGAATAAAGGTTAATGGTTCTTGATCAAGCAAATAATTTAATAAAACATTATTTTGCCAAATAATGTTTTATTCACCTCATGGATTTGCATTGTGAATTGGTCTGAAAACAAATTTCTCTATATTAGTGAAAAGCTAATTGTATCATAATACCAAATTCTTCCAGATAAACTTTGGTAATCAAACTCAAAATCATCTTAAACTGTAATATGTTTTTTTTTTTTACCATATTTCCCCCTCATTGTACATAGTAGTTTAGTTGAGTTTCACTAGTTTAAGTTACGAGTGTTAAACTGAAATATGTTTGACTTGGAGCTGAATGATTTTTGTAAATAAACTTATATTTAAACAGAAGTTGTGGTGAATTTATTTAATGTATGTGCAGAATTAAGTGTTTGACCATTATTAGTGCTTGAATCACTCTTCCATTTATTGTTATAACACACAGCTAGTAGGGCGTGTGTTCATAAACAACATATGACAGCCGAAATAATATCTGATTAAATAAGATATTTCCTACCCCTACCGGGGAGGGCAATACACATCTTAAAGTATCCGAAATATAAATCCACAACATTAATATGGCATCCAACCTGGATGGGCTTTGAACATTAAAATCACAAAATTGACAACACGTCGAATCTGCGACTCAGCAGCTAGGAAGAAAAAGGCTGGAATCTCTGAAGAGAGAAAAACTCAGGTTAGTGATCACTTAAATCTGATGGAGGACGATTAAGAGTGAGTGAGTCACCTAACCTGGTTTACAGTTCAGTCCGAGCCCAAAGGAAGGAGTGGAAATCCAGCCGGATGATTTGCCACGGCATGCTGCAGATGCCTCCCAGACACTGCCGTAACTTTCTGAAGGACTGGTGTGGACATGTCCCCACCAAATATGGGCATGGTGGGGACAGTCTCCACCAATAATTTCCGCTTTTTTACCCCTTTCCGCTGATTTACTTCAGCCAACAGTAACTGGGGTTGGGTGCAGCTGTCTGTGTTCAGAGCGTTTTCAGTCCGTGTTTTTTCCTCGCTCTCCCGCTGCTCTCGAGTCCCACCTCTCTGTGAAACATCACCTGATCTGTCGCTTTGGGACCTAATATTATTTCGTGTCTCTATTCATTGTGTACAGAGTCGCTACGAGGATGAGAAGAGATACCGTATATGGAAAACCATTTTAACATACAGTCGGTTTTGTATGACCACCTGTGACAAGCAGTTTTAACATAAATTCGCAGCAGCACTTAGTGAATTTTAGTTGGCAGGTACTCTGGTATATGTTTAAGTAAAAGTTAGGAGAGGGGTTGGTTAAAAAAAAATCAGAGAAACCACTGAAAAATCCGTTAGTTACACATACGGACCTTTTTTTATCTTAAAAATGGCCAGAGAGGGAACATTTTTATGAGTTAAAAAATTGGGCTTCTCAGAGTACCATCATTCAGAGTTACAGATTAAAGTAAAAACATATCTGTTGTTTTCTGATTGAACAGAGAATCAGACTGCAGAGCTTCTAAATATCTTGAAAATTATTTTCTCTGGCATCATTATATTGATAAACAGGTTCTGTTTTTAAGCGGAGCAGAGACACAATTAGGGGACAGCTGCTGATTTAAACGGGAAACAGATTTACTAGGATATGCAACATGCAATAAATTATATCCCCAAGTTTACAAGAAAAATATGCAATGTTATAATAGAATTTAACATGTGCTTTTGTCTTTTGTAGTTCAACAAGTCTCAGAAATAGCTGTGCCTGCCAACCCAGAGACAGCCAGACTCACAGGACAGAGACCTAAAATTAAAATATAAGAAAGCTAAAGTAACTAAATTGCAAATAATAAAATTCAGTGTATAAATGATTTTTTAAATATAAGGTTCAATACATAGACTTTGGCTGTCAATGACATATGGGAGAAATTTCTAAATTTAGTTTTGCTGCTTGTGAAGGAGGAAAATCCCTGATGGAGCGTAAAGGGAAGCCATGCATGGATGGATAGATGGAATTGAAGTTGTGTCCATACTAGGGCTGCATGATATATTGATATAGGCATCGGTACGGGCTGTTATTTGTCATTTTTTATACATTAATGTTTTTGAGCCCTTTTTATTATAATGCGCTAAAGGCAGGTATCTGTCTGTAACTATATATACCACAAATGTATTGTGGTACTATTGTGTTCTCAACAATAGTAAAGCATTCAATAAATATATGTTTGAGCTTGTTTTTGGAAAATACAAACCCTATTGAAAGTGTTTGGGTTGAGTAGCTGAAGGTCCATCAGCCACTACCCTTAGAGCGTCCCCACCGACTTTTATGGCAAAGTTACACTCTTGCTCACAGAGAGTTCCTGAAGCCAAAAAGGCCTCTGAACTGGCTGACGGCCAGAAGTCAGCAGGCGAGGGAAAGCAGGGGTTTCCAGAAGGCAAAATCAAAGGCGGTGTGGATGAGGTAAACAGGAGTCAAGGACAGAAGATCAGAGATCCGGAGAGGTACCAGACCGAAATTCAAGTAAGGGTCAGGGAACAGATCTAGGGTCATAAGTAGGAAGAATCCAACAGGAGTCTGAAGACAGGTCAGTCAAACAGAGCAGAACAAGGGCAGACTGGCTCAGAGGTACAAAGGCAGAAACTAGTCAGGAACCACACACAGGGTACGCTTGAGAACTCTCACCAATCATGGTGAGCTCTAATAATCTGTCACTGATGACTGGGGGCAAGCAGCTGAAATAGAAGCAGGTGAAAGAGATGTACATTAATGAGAAACTGGGTGGAGCTAGGCAGCTGAAGAAAATGACCATTAAAGGAATAGTACACCCAAAACATGATTAGCCTTCATTTTCTACTCACCCCCATGCTGAACAACACTCTGAAGTACTTTTTTGATATCTCAAATGCATCTGGAGATCTGGGAGGCTTCTTGCTGTCTGCTGACATTCAAATAATGGAGGTCTATGGCGCCCGAGGCAGAAAGGTCCATAAAAGTCCACAAAAAACGTGTCAATATTCCTCCATACTGCTCATCCAATGTATTCCAAGTGTCCTGAGTGGGTAGCATCCAGAATTTACTCGAAACGAAGTCATTTAGAATGTTTTTAGAGCATAAACAGTAGTGTATAGGATTTCCTAAAAGCGCGTTCACGAGTCTACGGAAACCGCGGCAGACCAAACCAGATGAAAGTGCGCATTCAGCTCGGCAAAGAACTCATGCTCTACCTCAACACTGAAGTCCTCAGACATTTTTCTTTCATTGTTTCTTTCTTTGCACAGGTAAACAGCACATTTCTTCTTCTACGCTTGCATTATCGGCAGAGCAGACACTGAATGGGCTCCTGCATGTTTAATAGTTATTCCCCCTTGAGTTCAGGGTTGTGCATGTGCATTTTTTTTTTTTTAAGTGCAGAGGGCAGGTCTTTTTAAAAATATGTAAAAATCCACCGCTATACCTTAATGTACTAACATTAGATGTGTTTGAGAAACACAATCAGTTAATTTCCTCTTGTGATTTGATGAATGTTCATTAAATTATAAAATCCAATTAAATGATATGCTACATTTACTGGAAAAACATGACATGGTTTGACAATAAAAGGTTTGCAGTTACTTTGTATGTAAAAAATATGATAATTATGCATTTTCCCTCCAGAAATTGCTAAAACCTAATTCCTTGCTGCCAAGTTTTTATTCTATCGAATCTTTGGTGATGCAGGATCAGTGGATTCATGGGAAAGTGTCATTTCTCCTGTCAAAGTATTTGGTGGTTCATGTTTTATAACTAAAAAGAGGGGTTTTAGATTTCTCCCAGTCTGCATCCTCTATTAGTGCTTCCTAAATAGATCTGCTATAGAGTGTAAACATTTGTCCAATTTACTCTTTCATAAATGGAAATGCTAAAAAAATATCAAAAAGAAATGCAAACCAAGAATAAAACTTTGAAAAGCTAATTTAGAAAAAGTTTTGAGAAAAGTTTATTTTTTTTCACAGCTGGGATAATTGCCAAATTCTCAAATGTCAACATTTTTAGGATGGACAGCTCGGCACCATGACGATGTTTTTTTAAAACACAAATATTCTGTGGTTTGCAAGATCTTAATTGTACCTGAGTGCAGATCGCTTCTATATCGGTATCGTTGGTATAAATCCCCAGAAAGTCTCACCGTGATTTGAGTTTTTTACAGTAAATCTGAGGCCTTTAAACTTCTTCAGCAACATGGAGACCCCTGCTCTTGTCTTTGGAAAACAAGGTGATGTTCAAGGTGTATGAAAAAGAAACAGGAATTCAAATTCAGAGTTAAATTTTAGGGAACCAAACGTTGCAGAGGTGTTATATTAATATACTAAAATTAGACGTGTTTGAGTAACACATTGATGATCCTGTTATTTGATGAACGTTCATTAAATTGTAAAATCCAAAAAACTTGTTTAACTACATTTAATGGAAAAACATTAAATCAGTTTCTTTATGTAAAAATTTTATTATTTATTTTGATTATTTTTCCTCCAAAAATTGCAAAATCTAATTCCTTGGTGCCAAGATTTATTCTATCAAATCTCTGGTGATGCAGGATCAGTGGATTCATGGGAAAGTGTCATTTTTTCTCGTCAAAGTATTTGGTGGCTCATGTGTTATAACTAAAAAGAGGGGTTTTAGATTTCTCTCAGTCTGCATCCTCTTCCATTGCTTCCTAAATAGATCTGCTATTTGTCCAATGAACTCTTTCAGATAACCAGAGCGTCTCTGTTGGACCCAGCAGCCGTCTGGATGAACCAAGCTGCAGGAAAAGAAAGGCGGAGGCTGTCACAGAGTTGGACAACAAGAAGTTATGCAAACAGAGTTGCATCAACTTCAGCCACCTCACCACTGGACAAGATCAGCCTGTGTCCGTAGAGTTTGTGAGAGAGTACCAAAAGGTACCAAAACCAAAATAAATATCAAAAGTACCAAAATACATACATATATATATATATATATATATATATATATATATATATATATATATATATATATATATATATATTAGTGCTGTCAATCGATTAAATTTTTTTAATCGCGATTAATCGCATCAATGCCTGAGTTAACTCGCGATTAATCGCATTTTAATCGCAAATTTTTTTTCTGATTGAAAATCATTTAAATACTCTCGATGACATACAAAAAATACATACAGGCTAGGTTTGTGCCAATGTTCTTTTTTTTAAATGAGAACAGGTCACAGATACTGATTTATGCCATAGAAACATATGGCAAGAAGATGGGGAGGCATGTAGCAAAAAATAACAAATATGTAGCCAAAAAAAAGGCCCTGAAAACAGGCTGATGTAAAAGACAGTCTTTACTGTTAATACAGTCTTTTGAACAAAGACAAGCATTTTACCCTACTGCTATAAAATGTAGTACAGTTAACATTAGATGTTAATTAACCAAGATAATAATGAACAATTTTCAATCAATACATCAAAATCAATAGACCGACATCACTAGACGGAGGTAGTCTATGAAAGTTACTTTTCAGACTCTTAACAAAAATGAGAACACACACACACCCACCCACCACACACAGACACACCCACCCACACACACGATACCGACCTGTGACAGCAAGAGTGCCGTAGCAGATTCCATTTCCCCTCAGTAATCTGTTTTCTCAGCGTATTTCAGGTTGCTACTAGTTACCAGACACTCAACTTGTTTGTTGGTGGTGGGGCTTAAAGAAAAGGCACTAGCGTCACCCAGTGTATGAGCGTCTTTTTTCCTTGAGGAGCTCCGCTCTGGAAGCCTATGAGAAATGCATAGACTGGAAAATAGCCCCGCCTTCTCGCAGGCTGCAGCGGGATGTATTTGGAAAATTTTACCATAAAACCACATAGCGTTAATCTCACGTTAAAAAAATTATCGCCGTTAAAATGGCCTCGCGTTAACGCGATAATAACGCGATAATTTTGACAGCACTAATATATATATATATATATATATATATATATATATATATATATATATATATATATATATATATATATATATATATATATAAAACTGTAACTGGAGCGTGTCACAATCCCTCTGGGATTATTAAAGTATTTCTGATTCTGATTGTGAAAAGGGAAAGAGCAATTCTACTGGACGGGCACCAGCCAGCATAATAGTGATAAGCAGCCCCAGTATCAGCCTCAGGGAGCCAGAGGAAGAGCTGGAACCCATTAGGGAGAGGAAGAGAAAGGCCGATGTCCCCGAAGAGTCCTCTAAGAAGAGGCAGAGAGTCTCTGAGCCAGAGCAAGGCACCAGCAGCTCAGTTTCTGACAAATGTGAGCCCAACACTGAAATAAATGCACCTCAGCAACTCCTGAAGTGGGAACACAAACATCCTTCCTTTTTCTGCTTAGGCTAAAGACAAGCTATTTTACTCCTTCTCAATTTTAGTGTTAAGAGAGGAAATGTTATGACTTCTATGTTTAAAGGTTTAATTCAAAGCCAGACAGCTTTTAATAGCAAAGCTAGAGCTAACATAAATAACCCCCTTAATCAACCATTCGCAGTGTAAAGCAGGATGGTGGCAGAGTCATGCTGTGGGACTGTTCCTCTTTAGCAGGCACAGGGAAGCTGGAAAACTCATTGGTTTGCGATTAGAGAGTAAATGAAGGTGAAAAGTTACAGAAGAGGGAAAAGTTTTGCTTGATCCAGTATTAATGAACCATTTATGGGAAAATTATCTTCATATGAATAAAGAAGTTGATTCTGAATCATTGACAGCCTCTGGACATTTCTAATGCTTACTATAAGAGAATAATTGCTGCTATAATCAGGTTAAAATAACAGAGTTCCTGCACAAATGGTTCAAATGGTCAAAGTTAAATTCAACTCAGTTTAAGAACTTGAAAGTTTTCAATATTTATGAAAGTATTTCTAATTCAATCAGGTCGTCAGCATAGATATTAGTCTTATTTTTTAAGAAGGTTTAGCTTACTAAAATTTGAAGAAATCATAAGAATAATTTTATCCACCCTGAAAATATAAAAGGAAAATATTTGATCCCCGACAGGAATGTAAACAGAAGGAACTGCAGACATTTTCTGATCCTTGAAAAACCCAAACAGAAACAAAGAGTTTGGAGGTTCATTGAAAGCAACAGACATGATGTCTGCATCTCGGACTGCTGTTGTTCATCATTAACATCAATAATCTGACAGTATTCACAGCTTTATTATAATCAGATGATTTCTCTGTTCACTCTTAGCTGAGTTTGAAAGAAAATATAAGCAGCTTGGACTGATTGGCAGAGGGGGCTTAGGATCCATCTACGCTGGCCTTCGCCTGGAGGATTCATTACCGGTTGGTATTATATTGTGTTCTTGGCCTCCTGTCTGTCTTTGACTCAAATCTAAGCAGGCATCCTGAAAGCATCACTGCCGATGTCTGCAGAAAGAATAACACTTGCACTTGTGTCCAACAGGTGGCCATCAAGTACATGGACATGAGGATAGGTCACATCAGACTGAGTGAAGTGAGTGAACTGGTTTAGAAGCAGCCGGCCTCCCAGTCATCTTAGTAGAGAGTATTTGTCCTTTGCTGTTAGTTACACAATCAGGTCATTGTGGTTTTTTTAAGGTGGACAGTGTTCCCCTGGAGGTGGCCCTCATGCAGAAGGCCGGAGGTGAGCCAAATGCAGTGGGGGTGTTTGCTGCCGTCACCCTCCTGGACTGGTACCTTATGGATCAGGACCTGCTCATTGTAATAGAAAGGCCACCAGCATCCATGAACCTTTTGGAATACGTGTCCTGCAGAGGAGGTCGCTTGGAGGAAGACATGGCCAGGGTAGGGAGGCTGGAGGTTGGATGTTTTTTGCTACGTCTGCATTCGCTGGCAGACTAAGAGCTTTTCTGCTTTTTCCATTTAACAGCTGCACCAACAACTTTTATCTTTGATAAACCGTCATTTCTTAATTAAATGTGTAACATAATAAAAAGGACCCACTAATAATTACTAAATGAGTTCTTAACAGTAAGGAAATGTGATGGAAACTTCTTTCCTAGTTTGACTTGAGTATTCAGTTTTTATTTTATTCTGCAAACCTTTTAGATTAGGAAATAAATTGTGCAATCAGACAAAGGAAACCTGATTAAATACAAAAGGCATTTTCCAAAATGACAATAATTGTATTAATACTGAGTGAAAGAATATATTGTTATTAAGTCTATTTTCTGGACTGCACCTTTCATTTTCTTACCCAGGGCTCATTACAGTCGGACCTGTAGAATGCGTCCCTTAAGTAAAACCTGTCTGACAACATGAAGCTGGCTAAAATCTCAGAAATTAAAACATCATGAAGTTCATTGAAATCAAGTCAACAGATGAAAACCAAAGTTATTGAAATCTGAAAGAAAACAAAATATTTTGAAGAGTGAGAAACTTAGAGTGATTATAGACAAATGGAGAAAACAGAGAGCAGTGGTGAACCATCCCAGGAGGAGCTGGAGCATCCAGATTCACGGCTCAGCAGCTCATCCAGGAGGCCAGAGACGCTCTGCAGGCCTCGTGGAGAGAGGGGCGTCCATGGAAGAGTTTTAAGACAAAGAGAAAACAAAGGCCGGTCTCACGTTTGATCAAAAAGCAAACCGATGATCCCCAAGACTTTTAGCAAAACTATTTATAGGCTGATGAGTAAAAAAGGGAACTTTTGGGAAGATGTCTGTCAGGAAAAAATGTGCGGCGTTTCTACAGCCTTTTGGAACAAAACTTTGAGTGAGGAAAATCTGACCGTTAGAGCGAAAAAATAAAGGATAAGCAAAAGTTTATGGAGTGAATTTTATGACATTATTGTTGCAAGCAAAGAACATTTTTAGTTGAAGGAAGTATTAAAAAAAATGCATTTCTGGAATGAAACAGTTTGAATCAAAAAGTGTTTTTTTTAAGCATACTTTATAGTTTGTTTGTTTTTTGTTAGTTTTTTTAACGGGTCCCTCCTTCAGAGGAAACCCACCCCCAAATGTGACCAAACGTGATCTGGGATAATGAAATTTGAAAAGAATGCAATTTAAAAAACTCAGTCTGATAAAAAAAAAAAAAAAAAAAAAAACACAAAATCTTAAAAAATTTAAATAAAACATTTGAAAAAAATTACATCTGAAATATAAATTTGAGAAAAAAAAAAAAGAATACAAGAATATCAGAAAACAACTTAGTTTTTTCCTCAAAACCTTTCTCCCAATTTCAATTAGCAAAAATATGTTTTTCTTACAACAATAATGGAACAACATCCCCTCCATAAAATTCCTGTGCGCCGATACAAAAGATTAACGCCTCTTATCATGAAGGCTTGATGTCAGCTGTCCCCACAAACAGAGACTCAACCAGTCTTTAGGTTGAGGGGAAAATAATCCATCTGGGTTTAGATACCTTCTCTCTCTGTCTCTGATCAATGGAAAAAGCATTTTGTTTATAATTTAATTTATCTTTTTCTAATAATAAATTTCCTATAATGATCTGAATCAATAATGTGTAAAAAAAAAATAAATAAATAAAAACCAAAGAAATCTTTAAGAAGAGAATACATTTGCTAAAGTTTTATTTAATCTCAACAACTGAAGATGAGATCTTTAATGATAAAGACACGTTTTTCATTGTTTTATTCCAGATTCTTATGAAACAGATAGTGTACGCTGCCATAGACCTCCAAAATAAGGAGATTTTCCACCGAGACCTGAAGTGTGAAAACAAACCGGTGGAAATGGGGCAGGAGCTTCGCATCCGGATTATTGACTTCGGCTGTGGAAGCTTCCAGACGACCAAAGTCTACAAACGTTTTAGTGGTGGGTTTCTTCTTTGTTAAACATTTAACTAAGATCCTCTTTGAGTCATTTCCTTTAGAAACCAAATGGACGAACAAAGCATAACCCCTTGAACCCTACGGACCCACCGGCGGGTCCAGCTGCTACATGACCTCGTAATTTTACCAAACCCCCAGTATTGATGTAAAAAACATATTTGGCACAGTTTGGTGACATTTATGGATAAATGTGCCAAACTGGCCCCTCCGCCTAAGAAATTTCTCACTAATACCATTCTAAAATAAATATGATTCATCTGATTGAGTCCAAATTTGGTATATTTTTACACAACATTTAGATTTGAAAGTCTGTACTACTTTTTTGTGCTATAAATAATATTTTGGTAGTGTTTTGCAATGTTTATTTCAAAGAAAATTTTGGCGAGGTTCGAAAAATGCAAAATATTTTGTATTTTGTCCCTAATATTTCAGGCAGGGTCAAAGCTACAATGGTGCTGACACCAGAAAACCATTCTATGACATCTTACCTTTACAGACGTACCAAAAGTTTCTTCTTAAATCTAATAGCTTTGAGGCTATAAGTTATTTACTTTTGTGTGTTTTTGTCAGGCAGAAATTTATTTATACCCCCTTAGGGTGTAAGAGGATAACAGTCTGCTCTGACTATGCCTGTATTCCAGGTACTCTTGCATTCGCCCCCCCAGAGTGGTTCAGCTGTAGAAAATACAGACCTTCTCCGACCACGGTTTGGCAGCTGGGCGTCATCCTGTTTCAAATGCTGCACAGGTGCCACTTTGAAACCAGACTTTTTACACGGGGCCTCATTAAGTTCAACAGAAAACTTTCGAAAGGTATAGGAACATAACCAGCAAGTGCCTTGCTAGTTACCGCCCGCCTGTGCTTCTGACCATTAACCCTTGGCTTCTCTTTCCAGAGTGCCTGGCTTTTCTGCACCTATGTTTGGAGGAGGACAGTAGGAGACGACCCACCCTGGAGGATCTCCGTTTTCATTAACGGGGGGACAGGGCTCGATTTTAACCATCGCCCGATCGCCCGGGGCAAGTAGTTTTTGCTGTCGGGAGAGTACAAATTTCATTGCATTTGCCTGCCAGGGCCTCAAAAGCAAAATTTAAAGGGGGTCTTAAATTGTGTCAAAAATAAATTAAATAAAATGTTCTGGCTCCTTAGGAAGCCATTGCTCATATTTGCATATTGTTTCTAAGTTATATACTATAAGCTTTCTTATGTATAATTTTTGATATAGTCTTATTTTGAAAGCACCGGAAGTTGAGCAGTTGGTGTCTTCCTGTTTAAGGAGTAAACACTGAATAGCTACTGCCGCTACCCGATCTGTACCGGTAGCACGATCCGTACCATCAGCTCATTTGCGCCTGCGCAAACAGAATAACTTCCGGGTCGCCAAAAAATAATGTAATTACGGTACTGAAAAAACTTTATTTATATCCTTAAATAATTAAAGAATACTAAACTACATCGTAAAGACAATATTGAAGATTTTTCTGAAAGAAATGGATGCTTTTTAAATTCAATCCATTGTATTGCTTGACGTCATCATCAGACATGCTAAGAGTAGTCTGGGAATATATTATTGCGTAACGTTTATCTGATGCACTCTATGATAATAGAGTGAATGCACTCTACAAAAAGAAACCCATGCCTCTAAAAAATACAAAAGAATAAAAAAGTAAGAAAAAGGAAATATTGCCACCGGAAGTTATTCTGTTTGCGCACGCACAAATGAGCTGATGGTACGGATCGTGCTTCCGGTATGTCGCTAGCTAGCGGCTAATGTTAACATGTTGTGTGTGTCATTATGTGTTTCTGTGCATATTCAGGGAATATGTTGAGTTTATTATTTTAGGAGGATTGTGTCTGTTTATTTGGAATTGTGCCTGTTTACACAAAGACTTACGCACATTATTTCTTTGTTGCAGTTTTACCATTCATTCATCCAGCCAATAAATCCAAAGAAAAGGCTTACAGTGTGGTTATTGGAAATGATGGTTATCTACCTGCTAAGCTAAGAGTGAGGGCAGGACATAAAATATTTTTTTGTCGCTAATGGTCACTAAAATGTTTTTAAGCTCAACATGTCCAGTATTAAAATTCAAAACCTTTATTCACAAATATGCTCTGTTTTTTGCGAAGTGGAGCCAGCCAGTCCCGTTCGCATATGCAAATTAGCCATGTGCTTTTCCGCAGTTAATAACACGGGCAACGCGGAACAGATTGGGTGAAGACAGCAGGTCTTCACTGCTGTTTGTGGACCTCAACGGACCTCCTCTGGACAAATTCGACCCATTTCCATTCGTCAGAAACTGGATTAAAGCAGGAAATGTGCGTGCATGAAAGAGAGAGACAGACAGACAGACAGTCTTTGTGCGTGTGTGTGTTTTCATACACTGACTGTCTGTTCAGGCTCTTGCCCGCTCCACCAGATTCACAGAAAGCTTCATCTACCAAGCTGTCAGGAAGTTTTGTTCAAAACAAAAGGGTCACCTTTGATTCTGTAGATTTGACTCCAGGAGAGACTTTAAATAATAAGGAGAGTTTTGTGTCTATAAGCCCAGTGCAGACAGAAATGTCATACAGTCCCGCTCCTATCGGTTAAGACCACGGGCACTGTTTGGCTTTGTTGCAAATGAAATTAGCTTTCGCACTAGGGTAGGCAAGGATAATTCTAATAAAATATACCTGAGACACTGCTTTGCGTAAAAAGTACAACAGAGATTGGATGATTGTGCAATGTTAAAAGCAAAATACAAACATTGCTTCGATATTTTTTGAAGATGGGATGTGGATTACTTCAAATTGTCTAGGGCAAAACTAAAACAAAATACAGCACATAAAGAGTACTGGAGCTCATTTTATATTCATTAGAAGATGACAGAAATATATATATATATATATATATATATATATATATATATATATATATATATATATATATATATATATATATAAATTGTGTGAGATGGAAGAGAGAGAAACCTGGATGGAGCAGGGGAGATGAGAGAGAAAGGCCAATTGTGGATATTTTTTTGAACTATTTAGGTTTATATGTATGTACATTTCTTCCTAAATGTATTTGTGTATTTTTTGGGATAAATATTTTTCTTTAATGAAGGGAAGAGGAGCTCTGATGATCCTCTCTGCTGTTCTCACCACTCTCCTCACCTTCTTCCAGTGTGAGGCGCTGCACCCTCCACACCACACAGTATTTTTTGGGATAAATATTTTTCTTTAATGAAGGGAAGAGGAGCTCTGATGATCCTCTCTGCTGTTCTCACCACTCTCCTCACCTTCTTCCAGTGTGAGGCGCTGCACCCTCCACACCACACAGAGAACGCTGATCAGAACGCTCTCTATGGTGCTTCTGTAGAACGTGCTGAGGATGGGTGGGGGGAAGGTGGGCTTTCCTCATCCTCCGCAAGAAGTACATGCGCT